TAGATGCCAAGAAAAATTGTATTTCGTAAATTAACAACTTTAATTAGATACTAGTGAAATGAACGATGACTTGGTGGGGAAGACCAATTTATTGTTTAGTGCACAGTTACAGAGTTCTTTCGTAAAATGTGAAAACCCATACATTAAATACTTCATTTGCAATTCTTCCATCAATTGTCTCAAACATCATCGTTCCTTAATCGCTGTTACAATTACTCTATGTTTACATCCCCGTCCTCTTCAATTCGATCTCAACCTTCTACTGCCAGGCATTCCACTTCTGATTGATGTTACATACTATTTATGTCGACAGACATAAGTAGCATACACCACACTAGTAGTGTAACTATGGTGACTGTCACAAAAGGAACGTTTACTGAGTACCTTAAGTTTGTTGAAACATCAAGATTTAGTATCCAGAACTAAAAACAGACGTCCACATACAATCAATACCGCTCAGAGTAGTTATAATCACCAAAACTAATTTTTAGTAGCTTATGATGAACACGTATTTGTTTACATCAACTACAATTTCTAGTTTGTTAATATCACTAAGGTTTACAGAGATTAACGTTGAAATTGTAAAAGATCCTAATCATTAGATTGAACTAATAATACTTACATTAATAAGTCTTTCCCCGGCAATTACTCATGAACATACATAAATGAACTAATAAACACTGAGGGATTTAATGATGTGCAGTTACTTCAGATAGAAATATTTCCTAAAGGGCACTATACAATGCTTCCAGACTAATATTCTGTTTGACTTTTAAAATTTCCAGACGTTTCATTATTTTTTTCACTGATTTTTTGTCACGAATTAAAAAGTGTAAATATAGACAATTTTCCGAAAACTCGAACATGTAGTAAAGAATATGTTCATTCAGATTATTTAACGTTTGTAGAATAAGAATACTGAAAAACAAGACAAAAACTGGCTGACATAGTTATGAGAACAGATAATACTGTTGAATGTTGATTGCCAATTTATGCAGAATATTTCCAAAACTTAGAACATTCTAATATTTTATATTCTTAGTATCCAGTATCATATTTCTATGTAAGTGATACCGAACAGACAGCTAAAGTTCATATGAAACAGAAAAGGAAATAAACCACCAATGTTGTCATTAGTTAGTTAATGCAGTAACAATAATACTTTTTTTAAAACTATGGTTGTATCGTGGAAAGTGTTGTGTTATCTAAAACTAGCGTTCATGATAATGAAAAGAGTTAATCTTTTATGAAAGTTAATATTCATTGAATTACCATACATCATTAGGCTTTATTGGCTTTTCCCTCTTAATTTTTAGAGTTTTCATATGGTGAGTTTGCTTAAATGTGGTGAGATAACATTCATTCACAACTGATTTATACTGAAATCGTTTCCGATTTTTTATAACAATTTGTCATTATTTATACTGTTTATCAATTCAACTTACTAAATTCCTATTAGTAGACAGATTATCTGAAGAGGGAAATCCAGATGACAAATCAAATGACTGAGCAGGAAGTAATACATTGACATACGATGGAGAAAGAGATTGACTAGAAGAGCTTTCAGATATCTCTATTCTGTTTTTACAACTTTTAGAGGATTCAGTATTCAATCTCCCATGACGTCGCTTACAAACATCTGCTGTGACAGTACCTCTAAAATTTGGGTTTTGTGATTTTGGATTACGATTACTATTAGACTGATAAGATATTGAACCACGCGTTGAACAGTCGGATGAGTGATGACTATTAGACAAACGATCGACTGCGAGACCAGGTAGAGTCACTTTCAAGCGACCAATGTTACGAGAATGAGCAGTAACCAGAGAAGTGTCACCTGGACAAAAAGATGATAACGCTGAGGATGGCAATGATGATAAACTAGTTCCGAAAGAAATCACATCTTCGTCAGTACATTTTAATGCATGTGCCTGCGCCAAAACTAATTGTCTACTTTGGTTTGAAACACTAGCCATAATACTATTTTGTAAAGAGGTTTTATTCTGATTTCTATGCGGTCTAGATTGTTCTGCGGGGATATTTTTAGGTTCAAGACTCCGATGAAAGACGTCACATTCCGCAGTAATTCTTGACACTGGCATAGTAAATTTTTTTGATATGTCTTGCTTTTCTAGTATAGAATCGACACACATCTGATTGTAATCGTTTTTCGGTTGATTACATTGTCCACTTCTTTGTTTCCTGTATTTACCACTATTATTATGTCCATATGAATATAAATACATTATATCTTGAGTATCGCTCAAAGAAAGTGATTCAGAACTTTTTCTTTTCTGATCTGTCTTATAGGGCACTGAAGAACACGATGAAGGTTGGTTTGACGATGTTATATGACTTTGTGTATCATCATAAAAACATTTGTTAAAAATACGTCCGTTTGTGAAGCTGTTTGAGTTATCCATTGTGCAAACTTTTTCATTCATATCAACCCTTGCATTACTTTGATTGGCCCGAGAAACAGATAATGAGTGTGACAACCGATGGTTGGGTGAGACCGAAAAACAGCGACCAATCACAGACTTAGTTGATGAACGAAGCTGTGAGTCATCACAATGTGAATGTGTTGTGCTAAGCTCGAGATTAGCAGGCAAAATAGATGCACATTTATTTTTGTAAGGAAAATCGTATTTATTTATTCTATCTATAGACACAGAACAATCACCTGTATTATCTCTATGTAAATCATGTGATTGGATGGTCTTAAAATTATGACTGTTAATCCGGTCTGACTTTCTTGTGTCTTGAGATGAAGGGTTTGACATAGGTAAACAACTAGTTGTTGAATGATGTAAATTTGTGTTCAATTGATCACATGCACCTTTACATTTATTAAACCGGTGCCTTGGTTCCGAACTTTTGCTATTAAATCGATGATAAAAACCTTGGATATCCTCACTCTTTTTACACTGTTCAGATAACCATGTTACATCTTTCAAACTAGTAATATTAATGTTGGAGTTCGGACAGTTTAGATTATCATTAGATGCAAAATATTCATGAGAACAGTCCGAATTTGAGGGACTAGAACTTTCTGCGAACTCGTTTGAGGATAAATGAACGGCTTCTGGAGTTAAAGGACAAAACCCAGCCTCACTGATAAATAAATTGGGCTTTGCTGTAAATTCCCCAGACAATGAAGATTCTATAGACGCATATTTTTCACATGATATAAGAGGATTTGAATAAATAAAGGATGAATAATTAGGACTTGGAAGTTGATCAGCCGTATCAAGTTGATCGTATTCAACATTAGGATAATAGCTTAGTGAAGGCTGCTTCTGAGTAGTTTCATGGTACGTATTTACAGATTCACGAAGTTTGTCTGATTTAGTAGCAGAAGAAAGACAATCAATATCAGGGGTACTTACATAAATGGAAGGACCACGGTCAAAACTTGCTGAATTTAAAACATTGCACCCTAAATTACCCGCAGGGCTGGTATAAAAAGAGTGATTATCTGTGCTCACATATGTACATGTAGAGATTCCTGTCTGACAATGCGGACAAGGGTCTTTTGAAGTAGAGATCCCCAAGAACGTCTGGCGCAATTCATATAACCTGCATCTATGTAAAGCAGCTTCACTAGCAGCACTACTAATCTTTTCACCTGATTCAGGAGGCTGATGAATTTCTGTTCTTAAGTTTAAGGAGTCTCGTGATTTTGATGGATATACTGGTGGTAGTAGTGATAGGGGCATCTGAAAGCCAGTTAACCGCATCAGTTCATGTTAATACAGTACCTAAACATGTAAATATACAAATATGTAGAGGAATATGTTAGAATAACAAAATTACATGCAGCGAATTTAAAAAATCCGATACAGCCATACGGCACAAGTGTCAGATTCTAGGTTGTATATACCTTACTGATTGACTGGCATAAAGCAATACATATGTAAAAACAGAAAAGTAGGTTACTTGGGGTTTGTTTACTTGTAAGTTTATTTACGATACCATCATACACTTAAAACTGTTACCAAATACCTCTAAACATTTGTCATGCTGATAGCTCAAAATCCAGCTGCCAGATTATTTTCGTTAAAACAACTAAGGCTACTACTCATTTACTTCACTTACTGTCAAGTCTTGAGTTTGGACATTCATTTTCTCTAGTTGAAAAAACGTTTAGAACTCAATTTTCGAGTCAGTGAGTCATATACAACGTAGAAGCTGACACATGTACAGTTTTAAGTTACCTTGCCACATCAGCACGATGAGATCAAATCGTCTCAAAGTAAATTCGAGATTATTAGAAGTAGTGACAGTATCAGCATTGACAGTAAAGACTAGGTACAGAAAAAGAAAAATAGTAATAAGATTTCGGGACTCAGGTCCTAAAAACAAGGAGCGAATGTAAATGTAGCATTGCAAACGATTCCTAGAAATGTCATTCAGTCTCTAACAATTAATTGTAGTAAACAATTTGCACCTAGCCCGGTAGCCTACACCTATTAACATGGCCCAGTACAACTAACTTCATAGATTGGTGCCATATCTTGTTTTGGATGCTCCTAGCTCCTAGCTCCTGGACTGCCTTTGGACAGGGTCGCGGAAACAAGAAGGAGGTAATTTCAATTGCGAGCTGCCTTCTATTAGTACCATCAACCATCTAGACTGGACTGGAGTCAACCAACTCAGACGTCTTAAGTATATCAGGCTTAGTTATTTTTGTTCTCATCAAATGTCGAAAGATATTGAAAAAGTTTGTTGTTCACTTATCTTTTAACTATGTAGATCGTGTCTGTTTTACGCAAAGGAATCACTGAAGGCGTTTTAAACACCTTAGAATCACGTAAATGTGCCATTCGAAATGTTCTAAAGTTGCTCCTGGAAAACGAGGAAGACATTGTCAAAGCACTAGAGAAAGATCTTCGCAGGGTAAAAGACTTTGATATAGCATCATTAAATAGTGTCGAACTGAATCTATCTTCACGGATATAGACCCTTCAGTAGGTGAAGCGAAAACAATGCTCTCTAATATGGATTCATGGTTGAAAGAGGATCCGGTAATGTATCGAATGTTATAAGGGTAATTAATTATCCAGGTTCCATCGTCATTCATCACGTTAATGGATACAGTAACTATTCAAAAACAGCCATACGGTGTGGTTTTAATAATAAGCCCTTGGAACTTTCCCTTCATTTTATCATTTCAGCCTCTAGTTGGTGCAATCGCTGAGCTTATCCCTAAGTATTTAGATAAAGTAAGTTGTTGGTAAAATTAAACAAGATTTCCATGGATTGAAAAAAGTAAGAATTTTTCTACACTTAGTTTCTATTACTTTGACCTGACATTCTAAAATGAAAGTATTAAATTCCTAGAAAATATGAAGGGGGTAAAGTGTGACACTTCAAACAGATGCAAACTTAGTAAAAAGAACGAATACGAATTTTCATTATTGGGTACAGATTTGTGCCTAATCCTTCACTGTCCATGATTAACGATTGACTAGTTGCCAAGTCCATAAGTATAAGCCATATAGGTTTTCACTGCTTATTGTTCAAGAAAAATACACGTAGGAACTATTGTATGATGTAGATTTAGATTATTCCAAGTTATGTCTAATAATATCGCAAATTTCTGGTTTATTATGGTTTAGTTTGGGTGACTGAAACTGGTGTAAAGTATATGCTCTCCACTTTTTTAAAGCATCAATTGTAAAGCGAGACTGCACCTTTGAAATTTTCGTCCAACGTCCCGTAGACAGAATGCTTTCAATGGCGAAGTTGAGTAGAAAAAATAAAACTGATGACCCTATCTAACATCGTTTTCAGTTTATAATGGTGACATTTCTATGTAACCACTACTTGATATACTTTCCACAACTTAATAAACGTCAACACGTTTTTCAGAAATCAATATAAATAACCTTCAAGTAATATTCTTAGTCTGTAATGCTTTCAACAACTCTTGTGTGTCCTAGTAATGAAATCACAGTCCCTATATCCACGAAGAAAGCATAGTTCTGTTTTGTGAAACTAGTTTAATAGTAGTTAGTATCTTAATAGTCCAAACCGTTGCCGCTACCTTGACGTGGTGAACCATATTGCCATCAGTCATCGTTGTACAGGCTCAATAGAAGACTCACGCTCGTTCTGGAATACCTGATTGGACTCTGATAATGCTCTAATACGAGCACGCATTTGTTTCAGCCTCACTGGACGCAGAAAATCCACATTAAGAAGACCCATTAGAATTGAACAGAGTGACAAGAAAGCAGAAAGTAGATTCCAGGAACAACTGAGGTCACACTTAGGTAGTTTTGAAAACGAGGCTGACCCAGATGTTGCTTGGAGAAATATACAAACAGCAGTGACATCTATCAGTGATTTAAATTAAAGGGTTACAAAACACCAATCGATTTCTTCTAAGTCTATTGCACTAATGGATTCTCGTAAACTCATCCCATCAGGCTCTGAACACGATGAAGAGCGAAAGCAGATCAGATCTTGTTTAACCAACAGTCTAAGGAACGACCGTCAACGATGGTGGGCAACGAAAGCAAATAGAGATGGAAAAGGTGGCGGCTGTAGGTAATACAAGACAGCTCTACAGACTGATAAAATAAACTAAGATTAATAAGTCAAGTGTAAGTGAGACTATCTTGGAAAAAGACGACACTCTTATCTGCTCCCAGTCCAGACGTTTAGAACGATGGGCGGAACATTTTAAGGAGCAGTTCAGCTGGCCTCCAGCTACTCTACAACTACCCACCATTTCCAGACAGCCTGAATGGAACATTGAAGTAGGTCCCCCGACTATAGCTGAAGTTCAAAAGGCTATAGATAATCTGAAACGAGGAAGAGCAGCTGGTCCAGATGGATTGGCTCCAGAGGTCTTTAAGGATGATGGTCCAATTTTAGCGATTAGGTTGACTAATATTTTAGCTAAAATCTGGGAGTTGGACGTAATCCCATCTGATTGGTCACAATCACTGATTGTCCCAATATATAAAAAGGGGTCAAAATCATCCTGTGATAGCCATAGAGGGATTAGTTTGATTAACATAGCATCTAAAATACTAGCCTCAATAATTATCGGACGCCTAACTAAGACTCGTAAATTGCAAACACGAGGAAATCAGGCTGGCTTCAGACCTGGTTGTGGCTGCATCGACCATATATTCACTATTCGCCAGGTTTTAGAACACAGGCATACTTATCGGCATCCAACAACTATAGTGTTTCTTGACCTAAAAGCAGCATTTGACTCTGTAGACCGAGAGGTCCTGTGGCAGTGTCTGTCATTGAAAGGTGTACCTCAGAAGTACATAAACCTTATGAAGGCTCGTTACTCGAACACCAATAGTCGATTCAGAGCTTATGACGAACTGTCATCTGATTTTGCAGCCTCAAATGGTGTCCGGCAGGGCTGTCCACTTTCTCAATTTTTATTTGACTTCATCATAGACCTATTGATGGAAATAACGCTCTCGTCGATTGAATTTTCAGGCATTGATCTCCTACCGGGAGGTCCACTTATCGACTTAGAATACGCAGATGAAATAGTTGTGTTTGGTAAAGACGCTGATAAAATGCAGAGTCTTTTGGTAGGACTGAGCAACAATGCCAGGATGTTTGGGATGCGCTTCTCCCCCTCTAAATGCACGTTGTTGCTTCAGGACTGGCCTGTGTCAATACCTGAACTAAGGATAGGGAGTGAAGTAGTTAAACGCATCGACAACTTCACTTATCTTTGAAGTCTGATCAACCCTAATGGGTTGATGTCTGACGAAATCTCTGCATGGAATCGTTTGGCTTTTGCCAACTTACGTCATCTATGGAGAAGGCGAGATCTCCATCGGTCAATTAAAAGATGAATATAATTCATGGCTGGGAAACTTGGCCGTTAAGAATACTCGTAAGTTACTAGAATTCGATCACAGTTGTCTTAGAGATATTGCTCGCATCTGTTGGGATCACCGGGTAAGTAATGGTGGGGTTACATGCAGGGTATTAAGGAATGATGGTAAATCAGTTGATGAGGTTGTAAATCCTCATAGACTGAGATGGTTGGGCCACGTGTTACGTATGCCTGAACACCGACTACCACCACGCGTAATGCTGACTAGTGTCGGGGATGGTTGAAAGAAAGTTAGGGACGGTCAAACCAAAACGTGACACCAGTGCTTGAAGTCACTAACTTCTAGTCTTAGCCATGTTGGTAGATGCAGACTACTTGGTTGGGGTCCGCGTGACTATCGTAACCAATGATTGGAGACTCTGGGTGACATGGCTCAGAATCGGTCACAATGGCGTAGGTGTATGCACTCTCTGTCTTCCCTTAAACTATGAGGTTAAAATTGCTTTATATCTTTCTTTCTACGAACTAATCCTTTCTTTCTGTACTATATCCTTATATGCAATCTTTCTTTTATATATTACTACCATTGAAGTAACTACTTTATGAATTCGGTATTCATCTTGTTGTGCTAATGAGATATGGCAACTTGGACCGATGAATATATGTGCTTGGTTCTACGTTTTAGCTGACTGACATTGAATACTATGGCAATAGAAGTGTTAGTATCAGTAACAATAACAATCATAAAATTTAGTGGGTTTTATACACTGTCTACGTGTGAACAGAATCGCATATAGTAATATGCTGTCAGACACCTACATAGTGATCAAGGTTGAAACACGAAGTCACATTGACAGACTTATCTCTGTTCCAAAAGACCGTATAACCTAGTACGTCTTCGGGAAGAGAAACAACTAAATTCCAAGAAAATAGCGAGTCCATCTTTGAGTTTTCCCGACTATATAACTACCTTGTCAACTATGAGTGCTTATATAGGCTCAAACACTTTGGACTGAATGGTGAGATCAGAAGCCAAACTAATCAGTACTGCTAGACCGAGTGTGCTAACCAAACAATTCGCAAAACAATGGACAAAAACAAACGATAGTGCTCTACTTCAAACCATTAACCGCAGATAAAATCCTTCATGCGATGGAACGGAAACCTGAATTCCCGAAACAAAAATGATTGGAAAGTTCCAAGTCACCACCTTATGAAGAAAACAAAATCTATCAAACTTCTAGCTTTGGAAGAAACAAAATTTATCAGATTTCGCCTCCAGTAATCTCCCTGATAGGCCTGCCTGCGAGGTTACGTAGTACGTACGCCACATCGGTGACCCCTCATATAGAGAAGCAGAAGCATTCCATCTGTTGTACAACCACAGTTGATTTTTTAGAAAAATAATTGCTCACCGAATTCTTATCTTCCGCCTAAAAACTAATCACACAGTTTCGTGAATCCGAGGCAAAATAACTTTGTAATCAGTAAAGAGATCTATCTAGTCAGTTGTTCACAGATTGAACTCGACGAAAATACCTAAAGGAATGAAATCGAATTTTCAGACACAGTCATGGGACAATATATAATGATGAAGCAATATTGCTATATCTGCCTTATTCAGCATTACGTACGTCAACATGTTCTTCCGAACTAGTTTTTGCCATATTTATGCCGACAATTGTTTGTAGAAAAGCGGGGTTAAGATTAAACTTTAATACAAAATAGGTTCGTATCCCTAGCGTCCCATTCTATCGAAATTGATAAAGCTACTCATTCTACTCTTTGTGTGTTCTGACCAGCATAATTTTGAACTAAATACGACTACGTGAATGGTAAAGTAGTTTACTACTCAAACTAGCTAGTATGATATGCACCAAGACCAGGCTCGCAAATAATAAAATTCGCCTTGAAACCTTACTTATACCACAGTAGTACAACTAGACTAGACGTGTGATAAATTCTTAAACATAGCAACCCTAAAGACATTGAAATAAATGCACTTAGCAAGTACCCAAAAAAATCTCACTAACATACATAGTAGCGTAGGTTTCTTAAAAACCGTTCCCTTAGATATTCAATATCGTGTCGTTAATGAAAACTTAATTTGTAAATAGTCTTTTAGTCAGTATTTAGAGTTCTCATTATTTCGTTTATTTTGTAAAATAATTTTATTGACCATAATGTGTTGTTTAGGTCGTATTGGATTTTCTTTTGCAGCGTTTCCTATGTTGTTTTGATTATTGTCCAATAACTACACATACAGCTTCAGTTGCACCTCCTTCTCGCTTCATTCCCTCTCGCATCAACGATATTGTAATACAACGGCGAAAAATATTCGTAGCTTGTGCTTACCAGTGTCACCATGATTAGTCATACGTCAATATCCTGAACTGAATACCATATTTTCGAAGT